AAAAAAAAATAAAACAAAATGACATCGCTGGAACCGAACGTGAATCGCCTGCAGAATTTCAAAAATAAGGGCAAGGATCAAGATGTAAGTAATTAAACACAGATTAGTAAAGTAAAATGTTTTCCAATGAATTTGTGAACAACGTTTCCGCCTATACTTCAATGATACTGCTAGGTGTGAAGTTATGAGACGCAGTTCATTTTAAGCACGGTGATGAGCACATGGGCATTGACAGCATTGCGGGGTAGACACATGTACACTGTATTGCAGCAACGGGGCTTAAAGTGCGCTACACGTCGCCTTGCACCCACCTTCCTCGTTACCATAATTTCTGTTGCTGTGTGCCCCCTTTTATGCGCTGGTGTTGGCCATGCGCCCGCCACTCGCCAATTCCATTTGCTTCTTGTTCATCGAGGTGCTCTGTCTCCATGCAATTATTGATTTTCGCAATCTTCAAAATTCTCTTCATGTGAACGTCATGGCAGAGTGTATTAGTGGAAGTCGTGTTAGTGGTGGATATAGTAGAGACTATCCCAAATTCGATATTTTCCCTATTAAAAAATGATAAAATGCGAAGAAACATCTGCTTTGTTTTATAAGGAATGGAATTTGAACTCGGTGTTTTACATGTCAGAAATTCGCTTCATAACTATATATACATAGATATTTATTTTTAATGAAAGGAGACAGTAGGAATCTTAAATTGTTATTATCGTCTAACTGTGATCAACCATTCACTCGTGGTCTATAAATGTGTTCATACACAAGTACATACACACATATGTGCGCTCTTTGATTCGTAGCCTTTGTATGGTATACAAGATTTTCAACTGGTTCTGCTGTTCGTGTTTGTGTATCACGTGTAGATGATGTTGTTTCGTCTCTTCTGCTATTTATTTTATGCTCTTTTCAGTTTCTAAAAAATTTAATTATGACGCATTTGAAGCTATTTTCGCGTTTTTGTTGATCGCAATCGCTTTTCACTTTTTTTGTTTGTGCTACAACGTCTTTCGCATGTGTCATTTTCAGCCCTGGGTTCCACGATGTTGCGAATCATTCTTGGCTGGGTTCTCTAAATCTATGGTATAAGATCAACGTTTTTTATAGGAAAAATGGTCAATCGAAAGCCCACGAAATTTTAAAATTTTGCTAAACTTGATACAAATTATTGGCTAATACTATATCCTGTTATGCCTGTTTCTATTATTGTCGAACACCTTGTTGACATTTCTAATTTTTTTCGCAGTCAATAGGAGCAAATCACTTAAATTTTGTTTGTTTTCAATTTCAAATCAGATCAATTTATCAATCTCTTTATTTTGTGGGACTATAGTATGTAATAAAGAGGTTTCTAAAAATTACTTCATAAGAAATCGGTATTATATCTGGTTTAATTAGATCTTATAAGGGTGTGGGACAAGTTCCTGCCGAAAAATGCACCCAGTGTGGTCTGAGCGATGCCCAGAAATTAGCGTTTACGCTAGAAAAAAAAATTTTAAATGCCTTAATTATCCCTACTTCAGTAGTAATCTCTTGCTAAATGCCAACATTTCACTCATTTGTTGAAACATATTAAAAAAATACAAAAAAAGAAGTTTAATTCATGTCTATGGCAACTTTTACTTCCATTATTACTTTACTCCAGTCGCAAGGGGGCGGGTCCTTGTACAATTTTAAGTATGTATATATTTCTATGAAGGTTATATCAGCCACATTTTTAATGAAAGCAAAAGAATATAGTATATATTTTACAACAAAAAAAAATCTGGCTTGATAATGAAATGTTTTGACTAAAATTCTTCTTGAGGTAAAATCGAATGTCCCACTAGTCACATTCATTTAAATAATACATAGTTACAAAAAACCTTGCAAACAAAAATTGGAAATTGTTAGATATTTCTTTGAAAGGAATTTTATATGTATATCAGTTATTTATCTGCATACATAAATGCACACATATGTATATTAACAAATATTGTTCAGTGTTGTATACGTTCCGAAGACAGAGTTTTAATTTACACACATCACATTCTGGAGTCAAATGTCCCACTAGTCACAAACGAAGACATCAAGTTTTCATGACAGACTTTTCATTGAGTGTATTTCCGTGGGCGTTTTTGTTGTGGTTATTGATCAACCTCTTTCACATTCTCAGTTATTTGATTTGTGCGATTTTTCTGCAGTATGTTGTCGCAATTTGATATTTTACAAGCAACAATTCCCCGTCGCTCTTAAATACAATTTTTCTTTATAAGCCGTAACCACCTGCCAGCGTACGAGCGCTGTATAAATAACAATCTATACTCCACCATAATATTTCTGTCAATACTAATTTATTTTCAATTTATATTTTCGCGTAGGAGATGCGGCGTCGCCGCAATGAAGTCACAGTGGAGCTGCGCAAAAATAAACGCGAAGAGACGATCCTGAAACGTCGCAATGTTCCCAATATGGATTCGAATACAGACGAAGATGATCAGCTGCCGAATACAATCAACCTGAAGAAATTGGCCGAAGCGGCTGCTGACTCATCGAAACCGGAACAACAATTGGCTGCCGTGCAGGCTGCACGTAAGCTCCTTTCTTCGGATAAGAATCCACCAATTAACGACCTCATCAAGAGTGACATTCTGCCGATTTTGGTTGATTGTCTAAAACAACATGATCACACAATGCTACAGTTCGAAGCAGCCTGGGCTTTGACCAATATTGCATCCGGTACTTCGGATCAGACCAATCAGGTATAGTTAAATTTTCGTACTTAGCACTTGGTATTAATAAATACAGGAGGCTTTTCAAAATGTTCTTGAAACATGTACTACGTTCAAATTAAAAGCATTTACCATTGTTATAGGGTTTAATTAGTTAAATTAAAATTGTTGATTGAAAACCAGGAATGTGTCGGCAAGATTTCAGGTAAGACTAATGGGCCTATTATGTAAGGCGACTGGCAGCCGATGTTCAACGATATACTAAGATTTGCATTTCTGTCGGTTACTGAGTCTAGATGCGCAGTTTTTGTTTACCGCTTATGACAATTTTGTTATTGGTTAACGTAATTTTGACATGTCAAAAAAGTAAATTCGGATGTTGTCTGCGTTTTTCTGTATACTGAGATTAATCGCTATACATAATACAAAGTGCGAACACTGGTAGATATTGCTACTATACCGGCAACTAGATACCAGTCGCCATACATAATAGGACCATAAAACAGTTAGCGAAAAGATCCAGAATGGATATCTCCCATTGAATTCTCAAAAACCGCATACAAAATCCCATGAAGAAAAAGTGAAAAAGCTTTTAACATAAAATGAAATAAATAAATAAAACAAGAGCAGAAAAAATTCAATTAGTCCGGACCGCATGATGCCGCTATAATTTGTGGGAGATTTTATTTCTGTTGTCCATGGAAAAACGAGGCGATTTTTCGGCAAGCAAACAATTGACACGCCCTAAATTAAAAGTTAGGTACAATCTGAACGCCCTGATTAATAAAACACCTGTTCAATCATTTAACTAGCTAGTTTTTGCCAATTT